CGGGGGGGGGGGCGAGCAAAACAGGATGACTCGTTTCCAACTAGATGCTATTCAGAGTAGACCCATTGAAATTAATGGACCTAAGTTGGTCGTGCCCATTCAATTTCAACGGCTGTACTCTGAGCAGGTCCAATGTTGGCTCTCTAACCCACTGACACCTTTTAAAAAGCTTCCTACCCCCTTTATAAAATTTTCGTTTTCATTCCCCCCCTCGATTGGGGGGGGGAGTTGTGGCTGTATTGCCCGTTTATCAAGTGCGTAGACTGGATTTTTGTTAGGAGGGGGCGGGACTTTTGCTGGGGGGGGGGCAGAACCGTCGTGATTGGTCAGTTAAGTATTTCTATTGTTTTACTTGATCTAGGGGGGCAGCTTTCCATCCCTGCTCCCCCCCCCCCCCCGCTATTCGCGCCACGCTATTTATCCTGAGGTTTGGATCCTTAGAAGCTCTGAAACGCCGACGAGGCATTGGATGGCTCTTTTCAGGAAAGTAAAGGCCAAGATCCTATGCACACGTACTCGGGAGTAAGCCCCAGTGCACTCAAGGCGGGTTGCAGTACTTCTGAGTAAAGGTGCGCAGGATGCGGCCGCAGCCGAGCTTGCCACAATGTTCTGAAGTTTACCCAGTTCAAAAAATAAACACCACCCCTTTCCCCCTTAAGTAAGATGAAAGCAAATTACCGCGCCTGTTAAAACCAGATTCAGAGGGATAGTGCAGATGAACTGATGGTGCATATAACCCAGCCTACATTGAAGCCCTTCGAGATGCCCAGCTGATCTAGTTGGGATTTCAAAGCGCTTCGCTGCGGTCGGATTCGTCAACTGGGTCAACAACCAACACTGGCAAAAAAAGGAAAGAAAAATGGCAAGGCTGCGCGTTTCCGAGTTAAGCAGAGCGCTTCCTCAGGCGCCAGGTCGGAGACCTTTCATGTTGTTTATTGAATGGGTGGTTTTTAAATAATAATAATAATAATAATAATAATAATAATAATAATAATACTGGATCTTGTTGCAGTCGCTACCCTACATCAGGATTGAGGCGTTCCTTCCCCGCAGATTAGCTAGTTTCTTTGCCAAACAGGTGTTAGTACAAAATAGCCTCCGGCCGGACTCTGCCCAATTACAACTGTAGCAAAACCCCAAAGCGCGCGTTGGGGAACCTAAGGTTCAAAATTTACGCTGGTGTTTTTCGTCTCTCACACACAGCTCCAGCGCTGTTTACGGAGCCGTCCCACCCTTCTTCCAGAGAACGATCCTGACGTTATAGAGAGGAGGAATGCACTAGTCTCCTCTGGTTTAACGTTTCTGAATAATAATAATAATAATAATAATAATAATAATAATACCCTTCTCATCTGTGATTAATCTCTGTAAAGTTATCCAGGGATTCAACTCTGCCTGAATGCATCGCCTTCTGGTCTAGAAGCTCTTCCCCCAATCGATTTTTGTTTCAGACTCTATGCTCGGTTGTAGAGGAAATGGGCTCTGTACATGTTTAGGAATGCTTTCAAGACAGCTAAGAGGCTGGGTCCTGCCCAAATGAAAACCCTGCTCCTGATGAGGCAGGAAGGTGCAATCCTATCCTCTGTGTTTGTTCGGAAGAAAGTCCTTTTGAGTTTAATGGAACTTACCCACCAACAAGTAAGGCAACAGAGGGTTGCAGCCTTAAAAGCTTAAAATGCCAATGTTTAAAAGAATAAAAGACATTTCGCTTCTTCCACTCCACAAGTCAAAAGTAGTGAACCCCTAAGTGCAAAATTATTCTCTTTAACAAAAAACACAAAACCCAGAACCTCTTGCAACACATAACCCAAACCCCCAGGGTAAAAAAAAAACCACCACACACGCCCTTTTCTATTCCCTTAGAAATCCACCTAAGGATTTTATCCTAAAATAATTCCCTCTTTATATTTAAAAGCAGCGACACTGGTAGTTCTGTTGATCTGTTAAGAATAAATCTATAGGGACAGTAAAAGAAGAGTAGCATATGGTTATTGTATTTGTATTTGTTAAAAACAACAATTAAAATGGTTTTTTAAAAGTCTGCATTTTGGGCAGAATCAGGGCCATAGTAAAAGGAGTCCTATGACCTGCCAGGTATGCTGTATGCTCCCCCTCCTTCTCCCACACCACAGGCGTTGCTAGGAACATACTAGGCTCAGGGGGGCACAGGTTGATGCAATAATTTTGCCTCTGGGTAAATTGAGGTAGGGACGCGGGTGGCGCTGTGGGTTAAACCACAGAGCCTAGGACATGCCGATCAGAAGGTCGGCGGTTTGAATCCCCGTGACGGGGTGACCTCCCATTGCTCGGTCCCTGCTCCTGCCAACCTAGCAGTTTGAAAGCACGTCAAAGTGGAAGTAGATAAATAGATACCGCTCCGGCGGGAAGGTAAACAGCGTTTTCGTGTGCTGTTCTGGTTCGCCAGAAGCGGCTTAGTCATGCTGGCTATATGACCCGGAAGCTGTACGCCGGCTCCCTCGGCCAATAAAGCGAGATGAACGCCGCAACCCCAGAGTCGGCCACAACTGGACCTAATGGTCTGGGGTCCCTTTACCTTTAAATTGAGGTCCTGAGTGACTGAGGTCTCAACAGCACTGTGATTTGCAGCCACCCTACAAGCAAAGGAGGTTGGTGGAGCAGGACACCCAGAACCCAGTGACAATGAGTTGGCAGCCCTGGGCCCCTCTCCCTGTCCTGCATAACCTTTCATTTAAAAATATGTTTCTATTCCCTTTTACTGTTGGAGTTACAAGGGAGTATTCTGCCCAGTCTGTGGCTCATTAAGTATTCTATTCCCTTTTACTGTTGGAGTTACATGCAGGGAGTATTCTGCCCAGTCTGTGGCTCATTAAGAAAGAAACTTGCTCCCACCTTCCGATATTCTGGCCAATGATGTGTGCCAGAGCACTGGGATAATTCAAAAGCACTAGGCAGACTCCCTGGTCCCAAAATTTCAGGCCATGGATCCCAGGCACAAGTCAAACTCTCTTCTTTCCCATTGATCTAAGTGTTGATTATTGTTACCTAACTGTGGTCAAAACAAAGTCCTATGTTTCCTATGTGGCTAAAATTAAGACAGGAAGCTCCTTGGGGCTTACATTTACGAAGCTTTGTGAAATGCTATTATATTAATGGTCTGATAAAAGATTAATAATAATTTATAACAATTGGCTTTGCCAGATCATCAGTGCTGTCTATCTCAGTGTTATCTGCACTGATTGGCAGAGGTGCTCCAGGTTTTCGGACAGGGGTCTCTCCCAAACTTTCCAGGAGGTGCTGGGGTTTGAACCAGGGACCTTCTGCATACGAAGCTACAGCCCCTGCTCCAAAGTTTAACAATTGCTGCTAAGTTGGTCTTTATTCAGTCCAAGACTTTTAGACTGCAATCCTGTGCATCCCTGTTTGGCAGTAAGCCCCATCAAGCACACTGGGACTTCATTCTGAGTTAAGCCTTTTATTTTATTAAATCTGTACATCACCTAGGATTACACTGTTTAAGCCCCATGGATTGCAAGGGTGGTGGTGAGGAGACGTTTTTACCTCTCCCATTGTAATTGACGGAGCTTAATTTTGGCTGGACCAGATCCTTCCTTAATTAACTTAGACATAGTTAAATTCATTTGGCCTGTCCACAAATTACGAGTTCAGCTTACTATTTTGAGCCTATTTTGGCCCTTTTATGTTACTCTGCTAGGGAATGAAGAGAGACGTTGTCAAGAGTGGCCTTTGCTTCTAACAGGAAGTGATAGCGTTTGCATTTTAAACTGTAAGGACATGATCCAGAATGAAGTCAAATGCTTTTAAAGCACCATTGATTTCCACTGGAGAATTAAATACACTTTTCATTCTCTCCCACTGAAATCAATTGACTAGATCATCCCCCCCCCAAGTTATCTTCTACTTCATCCCACATTTTAATAAACTAACAGTGAAGATTTGATAATATGCAAATTTGTTTCAATTTTGAACCACTCAGTAATAAACGCTGGAATTGGTCAACAGCCCAGGTGATAGCAAAATAGGTTATTGAACTTAAATGCACTGCCTTAATATTTATTGTTTATGTGGGTATACCTATACATGTTACAGCCTTGTTTTCCAAGTGTCTGAGAAATACTAAAATAATAGCACTTATTTCAGTTTCTAAAAGTTTATTCAGAAGTGAATCTGCTCTTTTGTAACACAGTCGTATGCGTGTTTTACCCAGAAGTACAGCCCTCTGAGTTCAATTTGATTTACTTCCAAGTTGCCAAACTCCAGTCTTTTTCCAGTCTCTTTGACTTTTGTATTTGTTTTTTTATAAACCCATTTTATCCCATTTTCGCGTTAATCCAAGTTTTCTTTTAAAAAAAAAAACTGTGTGAAAATTTTTATTTTAAGTATATAACTTTAAATATATTTTCTCTTGAAATACACATTGCTAAACACATTTTCTCAAAAAAATACCCATTTCTAAATGCATTAACTCTCAAAGTATGCGTTTCAAAATGTGTTTTTTATATATATCATTACACATTGCACTTATCAGTCAACTTTTTATATCTGAAAGGTATAAAGAGACTTACAGAAAAATAAAGAGACTTACAGAAAAATAGCACGCACAATTAAAACCAACATTAAACTGAAACAGATTAAAAGCTAAAAACACATGCATATTTGTATGGACGAATACATTCTTTGCAGAACATTTAGGAAGTACAAAAACTGGTAGACAACAAATTTCCTATCTACACGTTAGCTTGGGAGGTGGAGATCAGGCCAGTGCATACTAGGATTCACAGAGATCAAATTCCTGAAGCATCCCGAGTGACATGTGCACTGGATTGCAGCCTGAGACCCATGGAAGAGAAATTCATTGGTCAAGTATATTCCCTATGTTAACTACTACATCTTTGCAGATGCCTGCATTATACATGCATACCATGGATTTTTTTTGTCTCAGGGGCCAAAACATCTTGAAATGCCCCTCAGAGGTTGGGCAAGGAATTTTAAGGGCAAAGTTCTAGCTCTGCGGTACAGCATCTGCTTTGGATGCAGAAAGTCCTGGGTTCAACCTGCAGCACCCCAAGGTTAAAGCTAAAGGAACGCCTGACCATTAGGTCCAGTCGTGACCAACTCTGGGGTTGCGGCGCTCATCTCGCTTTATTGGCTGAGGGAGCCGGTGTACAGCTTTCAGGTAATGTGGGCAGCATGACTAAGCCACTTCTGGCGAACCAGAGCAGCGCACGGGCTGCACAAAATCATGGAAAGCTGCTTCCAATCAGCAGACACAGTATTGAGCTAAGATGAGCTAATAGCATTAGGGGATCTTCTTATGCTCCTGTGTTTCTAAACTCAACCATTTCTTGTTGCTGGTCGTTTCTAGGTGGTTGCCCTTGGAGACGTGCCTGATGGCACTGTGGTTACTGTCATGGCCGGTAACGATGAGAACTATTCAGCGGAGCTCCGGAATGCCTCTGCGGTCATGAAAAACCAAGTGGCCAGGTTTAACGACCTTCGCTTTGTTGGACGGAGCGGCCGAGGTAAGGAGACCAGAGATGAATGAGTTGATAACGAATTTAGAGGTGGCTTTAAAAGGTGGCTGAGTTCTTGGAGGATATCCACACACGACACTACCCACACATATTGTGCTTCTTTATTAGAACATTTCATCCTGCGTAAATATACCACACAGCGTGCCTCGCAACAGGAGTTCCCAAACTGTGGTTCGCGGACTATCTGTGGTCCAGAAGCTTCATTCAGGTGGCCCATGGCATGTCTGTGGATTTGTGGTTAAGATGGGAGGCAGCACATCTATTCCATTAAATATTCATATTAACTTTTAATTGCATTTTTTATGGTTTCTTTTCTTGCATATTCTATTTTATTGCGTTACAATCTGTATTCTATGGAAATTATCCTATAAGAAATAAAAGAAGCCATAAAAATGCAATTAAAAATCATACAGCTTCTAGGACAGTCCATTACAATGGCTGCAACAGGCAGAAAAATCATTAAGTGGTTCACCCAACCTTCAGCTATTTTCACATGTTCCATGAGGTGGAAATCTTTGGAAACCCTTGTCTTACAATGACTTTTTTAAAAAACAACAACACAATGTCCTAAAAAGAGTACAGTGGTACCTCGAGTTACATACGCTTCAGGTTACATACGCTTCAGGTTACAGACTCTGCTAACCCAGAAATAGTACCTCAGGTTAAGAACTTTGCTTCAGGATGAGAACAGAAATCATGCTCCGGCAGCGGGAGGCCCCATTAGCTAAAGTGCTGCTTCAGGTTAAGAACAGTTTCAGGTTAAGAATGGACCTCCGGAACGAATTAAGTACTTAACCTGAGGTACCACTGTACAGAATAATTTTTAAAGAGAGACTGGGTTATTAAAATAAAAAACAACAACAACCCCATAAAATGAAAGACTGCTGGAACAAAACGGTCTTCCAATAGCAGCATGTAATCAAAAAGATCTCATCCCTCAGCAGGCTTGCGGGGGGATCCCAAGTTTTACAGAAGTACAACAAATTTTGAGAGGGAAAGAAATCTAAAAGGGAGAGGGAAAAAAAAAAACATTTCCAAATTGCGCATTGAGGACTGAGCATGTTCAGTGGGCACGAAATGCTGACTGGCTGTTTGAGGCAATGTGGACGGGAATGGAAAACTCACGAGGAATTGAATGAGGGGATAGCTGGGCGGGGCCCTGACCAGTCTGGAGCAGACTACATGCCATGATTTGTTGCAGGACCTACTTGTTAGCCAGGATAGCTGAATGGAACATCCACGATCAGAGGCAGTTTAAAGCTGGAGGCATTAAAAATGAAATATACATATTATCTTCTCCATCACCTCCCAGAAAAATGGGTAGAGAACCTCCTGTTGGAACATTCAGGACAGACAAAAGAAAGAACTTCTTCACACATTGCATCGTTAAAATATGGAATTTGCTCCCACAAGAGATAGTGATGGTGGCCACCAATATAGATGGCTTTGAAAGAGGACTAGGCAAATCCATGGAGGATAAGGCTACTGGCAGCAGCTACTGGCCATGATGGCTATGTTCTGCCTCCACTGTCAGAGGCAGTATGGGAATCACAAGTGGAGAGAAGGGCTACTGACTGGGCGACATCTGGAGGGCCACAGGCTCTGCCTGCTCCCACTGTACAACTTACAAGCACACATGCCAGGGCCCTGCAGAGAAGCTGTGATGAATGCACGGAGGGCAGAGTGAGGCCAGCAGGTGGGATTCCAGGCCCCCACCCCAATGTTCATTCTGCAAAGATCTGTTGCATGGCCAATGCCGATGCTGATCTTATTGTGTTTAGCATGTGTCTGTTCTTCTGCAAAAAGTGCCACACTGTAGCTGCATAAGTTATGTTGCATGAACAGCCCTGATGCTGATCTTATGGTGTGTTTCAGCCTGTGCTGCTGCTGCTGCTACAGGAAGTGGCGCACTATAACTGTGTCGGCCTCTGGCCAGTCTTTTGAATGTATACATGCAAACCGTCAAAGAGATTTTTGGCTTCTCGGCATTAAGGCCCAAGTGATCTTAAGAATGATTTGCGTGTAATAACTGTTTACTTGTTGCTCTCTATGAAACCCAAATAGTTTACATTCTTTCGTGCATTTCCGCTTTCCCATTGGCTCCTTTCCTAAGTGGCAGGCAAGGCTTTCTTTCAAAATCTCCCCCACATAACTGCTTGCAGGTTGATGAATGGAAAAATGTTTTGCTTTTATGAATTAAGCTTTCATTTCTGTACTCAATTATTTGCTTTAAGTCTCCTCCCTCCCTCCCCTTTTTTCCATCCCCCTTACACAAATTTCCAAACTGTACATAGCTCCATCCGAATTTGACTCTTGAATTCATTAGGAACCCCCCTACTCAGGTCTCCATGTCTGGGATAAGAAATTACAGTAGTCTGGAGTCCTTGGGAAGCCTGTGAGGAGTTTGATTTCAAACTAGGAGACGTGAGTCTAAAGCCTCTTGGTTAGCAAAAAGTCTTTTGTCTTCAAGTGCATGAAACGTCCCGTTTGGGCTCTCTGTTCTGCATGCTATAAGTCCCTGTTTCTGCCAGTGTAGACTAATTCTGCACAGGATAGTGCTGTCCTGAACATGTCTTTTACCTTTTGGGTTGTTGTTGTTGTTTTTTGCAATGATTTCCCACCAATTAATGAGGAAACCCCCCTACATTTGAAAATTATTGAAGGGCAGAGGAAACATAGGTGAAATTCTCAAGGATGAGGTGCAGGGTTGGTTTGTTTGTTTGCATTCACTCTCACTTTTGAGTTGGATGAGTTTTTGTGAGTTTCTTTCACCAATATCTGGTAGCTTTCCTTCTATAGCCTTTCTGGGAGTCTGTGCTTCCTGAAAACCTCATGATATCCTTGGTTGTGATTTCTTCTAAATCAGGGGTAGGGAACCATTTGCCTTCCAGATGTGGCTGAACTACAAATCCCATTCTCCCTGGCCATTAGCCATGCTTGCTAGGACTGATGGTAGTTGTATTTCAGTAACATCTGGAGGGCTTAAGCAGGGCTTTTTTCCAGCTGGAACGCACTGGAGTTCCGGCACCTCTTTGGCACGTTCCGGCAGCTCCATTAGGTTGGGGCACGGTGCCTGGGGCTGTGTGGCATGATGATCAGGTTGCTGTGACGATTGTGGCTGCCGAAAGTGGCAGTGGGGACAAAGAGCTCAGCAACTTTGGATAGGTGCTCATCAAGTTCCACCACCTCTTTTTCCAGAAAAAAAGCCCTGGGCTTAAGGTCCCCTACATCTGCTCTAAGCACAGGAAGCTAGAGAGGCTGCCTGACATGTGCTTACCAGCTGTCCACTGTGTTGTTAATGCCAGTGTTTGTAATTAGTAGGATCAAGTGCTAACTTTTTTTGTGGACTGTACCATGTAAGATTGGGGGTGTACAAATGTGTGTTCCCCGGGGGATGCATGTTTGAATGCTCACACACATGAACATGAAATCTCCTTGCACATAGAAATCTAGCATGCCAGCTAATCAGGTTCAGCCTAACATTTTCCTTGATGAGCTATTTTTCTGTGTGCAACAGCCCCCTTCAATGGGCAAAATATCCAAAACTTCAGTATTGTGCCTTTAACAGCTTAATGCATAGAGAAGATGGAGCTGCTTCTTGCCTGGAGATGCAGTGTTGCTGAAATGTTTTATTTATTTGTTTTCAAGTATTGATATATGGCTTTTCCTCAGAAAAGATAACAAAGGATTGAATACACAGACTCCTAAACATAGAATTTCACTCACTCAATACACTTATACTCATTTACTATCCACATCCACTAACACATTTGTACCTCAGAGAACCTGCCCACATTCACCCATACTCACACATACTCTCATAGTTACAGATCTCAATAATTCCCTGGGTACAAATATATAAAGGCTGCACTACAATACTGGCAGCTTAACATCATGAGGCAACATTTATGCAGCAGCACAAAAGAGAAATGGTGTAAAATGGTGTAAAAAACTAAGACAGGAATGTGGGCAGGGTGAGGGGATCACATAGTTAAAATGTGTAAATGGGATGGAAGTCTAACAGTGCAATTCTATGCAGTGTTTTTTTTGGGGGGGGGACACAGGGGGTACACATACCCCTAAGCATTTTGTGAATCTTTGTAATAATAATAATAATAATAATTTATTATTTGTACCCTGCCCATCTGGCTGGGTTTCCCCAGCCACTCTGGGCGGCTTCCACAAAGACCAAAAATACACTAAGAATATATACTTTTGTCCATGTACTGTATTTATTTTTCCCAATTTCAACTATAAAATGGTGATTTTCTTGAGTCAAAATGAGAGTACCCCTAAACATTTTTTAAGAAAAAAAGCACTGATTCTATGTATTCAGAAGAAAGCCATGTCAGTTTCAAAGGGGTCTATTTCCACGTTGGTGTGCACACAATTGCAGCCTAAATAAGCAATAAACAATAAAATCATTATTTTATTTGACTTCATTCTTCAGGGACTATGGACCACTTGGTATAATAGTCCATAAAACAGCTTCTTCCCATCAGACTTGATTTATAGGCAAGCAACTTCAATAGGATATTGTGCAAATACAAATATTTACACCTGCCTCATTTCTGTCCCCAATGAGCTGTTACTGGTGATAAAGGCAGAGCAGAACCAGTTAAAGAAGGTGACTCAGTCTAAGTGGGGACAGACTGCCCACAGCAAGACAAAATAAAGTAGTTAATTCCTAAAAACAGGGGCTCCAGATTTAGTAATGTGTACAAATATGCATACACTTGGGTAAAATGTGCATATAAATGCAAATACATGTGAAAATGACATACAGAAATGTCACTAAGGAAAATTGTGTGTGTGACAGAATTGCATAGAAGTGTGTATGTTAGGAGAATTTTGCACGAAGATGCTGATAAATTTTAATGAGGCCCTCTTCTTTCAAAATTGTGTGACAATGGGGAGAACTGAATTTTAGATTTAAAAACGAGAAGCTGAGAAAAACCGAAACGAACAGATTTGCTCATCCCAAACCCATGCACCTGACTCTTGTTTGGGTGTTCTCCTTGTTCATAAACTCTTCATGTGAACAAAGGAAGTGAGGACAAGTGTACTCAGCTCCGTGCCCCAGGCCACTTTCCCCACCACTCTTCAGCTAGTTTCTCCCAGCCCTTTCTGGAGATGCCAAGGATTGAACCTAAGACCTGCTTCAGCTTGGAAAACAGATGCTCTCCCGCTGAGCTATGGTCCTTTCTATTGATGTTCTAGATTGCACTGAGACAAACGCCTGGGTGGGGCGGAGCCGCCACTCTCGCTTCCCGGCAACTGGGTCGTTGTTGCTTTACAGGAAAGGGTGAGGCAGTCTGCACAGTGCGAATGCAGAGGCAGATCCAATATGGCGTTCCTATCAGTGCATTTGCACTGCACCAACCTCCCTGCCAGCTTGCCCCTTCCCTTCTCCCTTCTGGTAAGCAGCAGCAACTCGCCTGCTAGGAAGCTAGCATAACAGCACCACTCCACTTGACAGCGAGACTCTGTGACCTTCCCTGAACCACACAGTTGCCCATGGCAATTGGATGGGGCAGGGGATGCTGATGCAGAATGGCACATACCTGTCCCCACTTCCCAGTTCATTTGTAGGGTTTACACACAATCAGAATGCAAGACTGGGGCTCCAGAGGCAGGCTTATTTCACATGCTCTGACCTGAGCTCTGGCACTCAAGGCAAGACCTAGGCCTAGTTGTGGCAACCTCTGGCTCAGACTAAATTAAGGCCTAATCACCATAGTGGCATAGTGCTGTTGTCCCCTGAAGATATCCATCACCAAGGTTCCTGCTGGTTCATTCTGGTCACCAAGGTGAAACTGGGTTATGTTTCACCAACTGTCACAGATGCTGGCAGGAGCTATGCCCGTTATCAGTTGTCTTTGTTCAGCTATGATCCATAGCCAGCCAGCCAGTCTGGCGATGCTATCAGTGCACCTCCAACTGGCAATGGATTGTATGTAGTCGACAAAGGAAGCTGTGGTTTTGTGGGTTGAAAGCAAGGTTTTAGTAGATTTTTGGTACCCATCCAGATTCTCACAGATGATAAATCCAGAGTTCTGCTTCTTGTTCAGGAGGTAGTGAACAGCTCCAGGTCCACACCATGGTGGCTAGTCTGTGGCCTTCTAGATTTTGTTGGGCTACAACTCCAATCCCTCACCAGTGGCCCTGCTGGCTGGAGCTGATGGGAGATGGAATCCAAAGGTTTCTGGAGAGTCAGAGGTTCCACATTCCTGACATTTTGGAAAGGTTAGGGCAAACTCTGCCTCTCCCCTGGAATTCATACCACTGTCCCTAGCAAAGCCCACATCACACGTGATAGAGAGGTGGTGTAATTGTAGTGGCTAGGAGCATATGTTGGCCAAGAACATTAAAAACTTGCCTCAGCTACAAGCACAGGCAGGTGCTTGTGCTTTCACTTCTTCACCTGTAGAATGAGTTTAGTAATACTGGCATCCCTTATAGGATGGTTAATTATAGTAAATGTTAGCTGTTTGGCTTAACAGGTGCTCCTGAGTGGTTTTATTTGTTTCCAGATTTGGGCAGTTCAGAACTACTATATTACAGTAAACGACAGTATGAAGGATGGCTGTATTTGCTCCTTTACTCCCGTACCTTTATTTTAAATAAAGAAGGAAACAAATTTCAAGACCCAGCCCTTTTAGGATTATGCTAATCCAGAGTGCAGGTGGGAAGCCAGGGGGCTGAATGCTTCTTCCTCCAAACACACACACACCTGGCCATAAAGTCCTGCATACAGAAATGTAGCACATTTGATAGAAAACTAGACTAAAACCCTCACATGCTGACTTTTTGCTGAGAGGAAGTTCTTGATACGGATGATGATTCAATCCTGCAGTCACTCCTGCCTCCCCCCCCCCCCCCGAGCTAAACCTTGAAGTGGTACAGGCTAAAGAAGGCTGCATCTTGTGACTTTACTGAAAACATAGATCAGTGTTAGTAGTGTTTAGATGCTGTGCACTGTGATATGACATCCTATGCCCTTTTAAAATGTGGGGTTTTTTGGGGGGTGTTATTGGATTGTTGTTTTTATTTTGATTATGTGTTTTGTGGTTTTATATTTTGATTTATTCTGTGAATTGTCCTGAGACCTCCGGATATAGAGTGGTGTATAAATTCTATTATTATTATTATTAAGTATACTATGAGACCAGTTGCTACTTTTTTCAGCTTACTGCCAAGTGACTTAATATAATTTCAGATTGTTAATTTTATCCCCTCTAGCTGTTTATGCAGCCTCAGATCCTGACAGCAAGGGGGTTTGTTCAAACAGTAGTAGCAAAGGAAAGCAGCCTTAGTAAGCCCTTGCTTAAATTTAAGCCAGGCCTTGCTTTCAACATGGCTGCCCATCTACCACGGGTATATATGGTAGAATCAAGGGAGGCTGTTGCTCTCCTCCTGGGTGAATCATGATCCAAAGATCCCCAGCTTTCATTTTTTTAAAAAAGGAGTAAGTTTCTAGCATTTTAAGCACCTGAGATATGAGGCAAAAATGTATAGGCGTTATTCTTCTCAAATTAGTGAGAGATTAACCTTTCCCACCCCTTTCAGTATTCTACTCCCCCCACCCCAGAAAAAACCCCTGAGGGTGCCCATGCTCGGCAGCCTTCCATTATATCCTGGATCCCATACACTTGCACCCTGGACTCATGTGTGCTTTCTCTTCTCTGTTTTTTCCTCCCTTGGTCTTTAGGAAAAAGCTTTACATTGACAATTACAGTCTTCACAAACCCCACCCAGGTCGCTACCTATCACCGTGCCATTAAAGTGACTGTTGATGGACCCCGGGAGCCAAGAAGTAAGTTTGTTGTCTTTCCTTGGAAGGGGAAGCGTGTGGCCGGGCGACAGTTCTCAAGCTAATGTTTGTGGGTGCATGAGACCTTTTGCTGCTTTAAGGTATCCAAGTTGTGTCAGATTGCCACTGTGGCACCACACTTGCTGTGGCTGCTTTGCATGGGTAACATATAAAAGTGCCTCTCATTGTGAAACACTTCTGAGACCAGTGTCCGCATCGCTGATGGAACTCTGCTGGCATGGGACACACAGACATGATCAAGGGAAATCATGCCTTGCGCACTGCTGCACTGTGCGCATAGTCAGAAGTGGCTCAGCAGGTGAGGTGAAGCTTCCCAGCAGGTGGGTCACTGTTGCTCACTGGGAGGGAGAGGGGTGATGCAGCAGCAAAGAGGTTGATGCAGTGCAACCACACTGGAGGAACAAATCCAATGCTCTTGCTGGTACGTTTGCACCGCACCAACCTCCCCACTGTCTTGTTCCTCCCCGGTAAGCAGCAGCAGCAGCAGCAACCATAGTGGCTCCTTCCTACCTGGCAAGCTGCTTCTGCTGATGGTGATGTGAGAGGCAGCTAATCACATGGGGCTTAGTTTTGTGATGGAACCCTGTCTGCAAACTGCAGAAATAAAATGGGTTGGAAAGGACCTTATGCAGGCAGTCGGCCCACCATCAGGCAGAGTGAGGCAATTGCTTCAGGTGGCAGGTGCTGTGGGTGGGCAGTGTGGTAGCTACCGGGCTATTTCTACTGAGCCTCCCTCCCCACACGCCTCTTTTTGGAAATTGTCATCTTTAGCTAGGGGGGCTGTGAATCTGCCTTTGCCCTGTTCAGAAGATTTAAGGGAGATCATCTAACAATGAGTTCCCATGGGAAGCCATCACCTGAAATTCCCTAACAAGAGAGGTTCTTGGGTACTTTGTAAGAGCAGAACTCCTGGCTCCTTTGACTCTCTCCTGTTGAAACACTTCCCACTCTCACGACAGAATGCCATTTTGGTTAGAAATGTAAGCAGCACCCTAGCAAGATCTGACCAAAGCCCATCTGGTCCTGGCTTATTTTTAAATTCCTAGGAACCAGGAGGTACTCAGCAGTCCCCTAGAAACCAATAAGCAGTGACCTGCCTTTGAACACCATGCTCATCTCCTTAGCAGAATTGTTAACGCAGGCCCAAATTCAATTGTGAACCATCCCCTACTCCTCTTTTACATTTCATCACAGGACAGAAATTAAAGATCTCTATGATAGGCGGATGAGATGCTGTTATGTTGGACTTGCCTGTTCTAATCGGATGAGTTTCTGTCAGTTTAAGCTTGTGGGCAACCCAGCTTTGTGCCAATACCTTCATGTGCCAAAAGAGGGTTTTTCTTCTTCCACTGACTGAAATTTTGCAACTGGCATTAGCACATGGCTTTGGGGAGGCAACAACAGCCTCACCCTGTCAATAAAGTGTGCTAGTGTGGAGCTGCTAGAGTTCTTCTTCTTTAGATTTCCCCTCATCTCCATTGGTTATATTTCTGAACTGCGTTTATGCCATGCATCTAAAGCATATTTCATGCCCTTGCCCAGCAAATCATGGGAACTGTAGTTTGTTAAGGGTGCTGAGAAAGGCAGCTCTGTGATGAGTTAACTACCATTCCCATTATTATTTCAGGGGTGGATGGATGTACTTTAAATATATGGTACCTATGCAGCCTAGGAGCAATGTCTTAATAGCTGGGCGGTTAGGCAGTGGAACCATTTATTTATTCGAAAGCATTGATGAACTACTTATTTTTAAAATCTCTAAGTGGTATACAATATCAAAAACAAAGGAGATTGTTAAAACAAAAATACAAACTAATAAAGCAGCAATATAAAAACATGTAAAAGCAAATAAAACAAAAGTTCAGCAACACTTCAAGTGCATGAAACAGGCCTAAATACAAGCCTGGCAAAAAGAGAATCCCATACAGTTACCTAGAGCAGGCATAGGCAAACTCGGTCCTCCAGATGTTTTAGGACTACAGCTCCCACCATCCCTAGCTAACAGGACCAGTGGTCAGAGATGATAGGAGTTGTAGTCCCAAAACATCTGGAGGGCCAAGTTTGCCTATGCTTGACCTACAGGTGTGATGGGAGCTTCAGGTAGAGACTGGGGAACTGCTTTTGGGGGATGCTCTGGACTGTTTGCAGAAGGTTGGATTAGATTGCCTGTAAGGCCCCAAACTGTATGGTTCTAGTTTTCATGGATATGCATGTATATGCAAGGACATCTAAGCAGCATACAGTCCAGGGCACAGCCTGCCATTTCCCACCCTGCAGCTGCCAAGGTATATTTTTGAATTTAGATAATCTGTTGTAGGGTAGCTGTGAGTTTCTGCTTTATCCCAGGCAGCAGTTAAATAAGTGGAGT